ACCCGCCAGACCCGCTCGCCGCGCCGTGCCGCGCCGGTGCCCTGCCGTTTCGCCCACTGGGCCAGGCCAGGCCAGGCCAGGCCAGGCAGGTGCCCACACGCGCCCGCACGCCCGGCCGCCCGCCAGCTGCAAACAGAGGCTAGGTCGGTTGCCGGCTGAAAAAAGAAAAAAAAAAACGGGGGTCGCAGAGGGGGGCCAGCCTGGGCCCACTCCACCAGGCAGGGAGAGAGAGGGGGGGAGATGTTCGTTTGCCCCCCGTCTCGCCGCCTAGCCTGGCCCGAGCCCGAGCCCTAGCCTGAGCCTGAGCCTGAGCCTGAGCACACCAAACACACCACAACCACCGCCCGCCCGTCCGCCATGCAACGTTCGCGTATCCGAACAAACCGTTTCTCTCACCTCGCCCCAACTCCACCGGCCGGCCTGGATCGCCTCGCCGCTCGCCGCTGGCCTAGGTCAGGCCAGGCGGGGCGCACTTTGTCCAAGACGCGGCCGCGGAAGCAGCCTGGCGTCTACGTACGGGGCCCATTCTGCCATGGAGCTGGCAGCGCCAAAGCGATCGGAACGGCAACCAATGGGTTCGGTCTTTACTAGTCCTACAACGCCACTCCGTGTGTGGGCGTGCGATGCATCTATCTTAGCGCAGGAGAAAGCAGGCAAGGGGAGAGGAGGGCCAGCCACGTCTACGAGGGAGAAAGAGGCGATAGCGAGGCGCAGGGGGAGGCTGGTCCAGAAAGAGTGTGGGGTACGTCTCTGCAGTAATGGTGGTACAGATGGTGGTACAGCAGCATCCGGCTGGCAGGGTATCAGGATCCGTGGGCGACCGTGCAGCAGGTGGCGGGGTGGCTGCATCGTCACCGCAGATCGGGCCGTAGCAAGGGCCGTAGCAAGGGCCGCAAATGCGTCTAAAGAGGAGACGGGGTTGGTGGTGGTGGTGGTGGTGGTGGTGGTGGTGGTGGTGGTCGAGAGAGATGCCCGGATGAGGGGCAGATCTCAGTGCCTCGGGGTGGCAACCTCGGCCTCTGATCTCTCCGGCCCATTGGTCAGATGCTCGAGCGGCTCATCGTGCAGGACGCCACGACGCCGCGGCAGGCTGGGGCGCGACTCGTCGCCCGCGTCCGACGCCGACGTATCCGCGCCCGACTCGAGCGACGACGACCAGCTCTCCTCTCGGATCGCGTGCAGGCCGCCCAGCGACGGGCTCAGCGGCATCTCGCTCAGCGAGCTCGACAGCGAGGCCATGTGCGGCGACGAGCTGCCCGCTGGCGGGGGAGTGGCAAGGGCAGGCGACGCAATCGACACGGGCCGCGGCGTCGACGTCGACGTCGATGTATCCTCGGCCGCCGACGACGGCGACAACGACGACGCATAGGCCGCAGCGGCTGCGCGCGCCTCGGCAATCTGCTGCTCGATGCTCAGCGCAATCAGCCCGGGCGGGTGACGCCGCGACTGGTCCGGGAACGAGGCCCACAGCCGTCCTTCCTCGGAGTCGTCGGACATGGTCGAGTCCTGCGAGCCACGGCTGTTGTCCGACGAGCCCGTCCGCGCCATCAGGGCTGCTCGAGCAGGAGCCGCAGCACCGGCACCAGCAGGCGCATCGGCGTCCGCCTCCGCCATCGTCGTGGTCGTTGCGTTTGCCATCGGCGTCGCCGGCAAAGGTTGACCAGCCAAAGCGGGCATGGGATCGGCGCCGAGCGTCGGCCGACTCGCTTTGGGAGTAGAGTGCCAGCTCGGTGCCGCTGCGGACGGAGGCGACGGCTGGGGATCCATCTGCTCCTGCCTCCGGCTCGGCGATCCCTTTTCTGGCGTGGCGACGGTGACGTCGGCCGCCAGCTCGGTGCGCCTCGAGAGCGAAATCGAGCTCGTGCTGCCGAACAGCGTCGTCCACCACCCGTCGCCGCCGCCGCCGCTCTGTCGAGACCCAGGGTGACTGCCGTCCTTGCCGCTCAGCCACGAGTCTCGACCAGCTCGTCTCGACTGTTCCGGATCGACGCCGTGCAGCTCGTCGGACGAGGCGCCGCCGTCAAGCGCCGTCACATTCTTGCGCGAGCTGTTGCGCGAGCCGCCAAACGGTAAGAGCCCCGCGAACGAGGGGAGCGGAGACGTCTTGGAACCGCCCGCTCCGGCCCCGCTCGAGGCTTCGGCCGACGGCGCGCCCTCGCCAGACTGCGGTCGCGAGCCGGTCAGGCTCCACCGCCGTGCCGGCCATTTGCGCGGCAGGGATCCCTGGCCCATCAGGCCGAGTCCCATTGTCGACGACACTGAGCCGCCGTTGTTGCCGTGCTTGACGTCACTGAAGGAGCCGTTGTCGAGGTTGGGAGACCCGTCCAGCTTGTGGAAGCCGTGCGAGCCGGACGGGGAGCTCGTCGCCTTGTCGTCCTGTCCGAGCAGGGCGTCCATGCGCGGCGAAGGGGGAGCCCGTTGGCTGCCCTTGCGACTCTCGGCGGGCGCCTGCGACTCCGCACCATCGGCGACGGCATCCTTCGAACGGGTCCGGCTCTGGCGCAGGATGATCGACGCGGCATCCCGGCTGAAGGCGGCCGGCGTCAGCGGCACCTCGACCAGGTTGACGACGACGTCGCCGTGCTCCTGACCGCGAGGCCCCTGGGCTCCCTGAACAGCGCCGTGCCCGACTTCAGAGCCCGCAGCGTCATCGACATCGGCCGAGCCCTGCCTCTGACTGGCTTCGGCTCCGGACGTCGCCCCTGCCTCAGGATCGTGACCCTCGGCCGAGGGCGAGCTTCGCGGCCTCTTCTGGCCTCGCGATGCTCGCCTGCGTGTGGCCACGGGGGAGCTCATGTCCGAAAGGACGGCGTTGGTGCTGTGCAAGTCCGAGCTCTGCATCGACACGATCCTCCTGCGCCCGCTGAGGATCGGCGAGTCCGAGGGCGAAGGCTCGTCGGGCGAGGCGTCCTCGGACGAGGCCAGCGTGATCGGCTCAAACGTCGGCGGCGTCGGCCGGTACAGCGCGTAGTCGTCGTTGGAGCCCTCGCCATAGTGGCGATCTGGCAGATCCAGGTCGGCCCCGGCAGGCATCGATGCGCTCGCCGTCGCTGGCAACGTGGTCCACGCTGCAGCCCTGCCGAGGCTGTCGGATCGCAGCTGCTCTCTTGAACGCGTGGTCCGGCCGATCGGCGTCGGGACGGGCGAATAGTGATCGCTGGCATCGTCGCCGCCGGCCGCGCGGGCAGGGAGGCGGTCATCGAGAGGGTCGCGGTCATCAAAGCTGTCTTGTGGAAAGGCGATGGCGGGGGCCGGCACAGGAAGGCCTGAGCCGCCCCCTGGAGCCATAGCAGGCGGTGGGTCCGTCTGCCCGCGGTGCCCTGCCATCTGATGATCGGCGTCTGCGCCGCCCTCGCGCATCACCTGCGCCATCGAGGTGGGCTGGTCGTCGGCTGGGTAGAGACGGGACCAGCGGGCGGTCTCGACCATCTCGCTGTTCGGCCGGGTCGCGTACGGGTCGTCGCCATATCCAACGCCGTCGCCGCTCAGGTCCCCGGCGGCATCGGAACTCGCATCGAGCAGCAGCGTCCGCAGGCGATCCTCGGCCCTCAGCTTCCAGGCCCATCGAGGCAGCTGGTGGATCGCGTCGGCGGCGTCGCTGGGGTGGGCCCGCTCGTCTTCGAGGTCCGACGCCTGGAAAAGGTGGCGCCGGCTACCCTCTCGCCTGTGCTCTGGTCCAGCGAGGGAGCCGAAGCTGTAGCCGTCCTTGTTGCGCTCAGAGACCGACCTCCAGCCAAGCATCACCAGCAGGCCGATCCAGGACGCGACCAGCACGGCCAGACGCCATGCGGCCCACGCCGCATTGACCAGCAGGATGACGAAGGTGTAGGTCGTCAGCCGGCCGGTGGCGGCGTTGAAGATGGTCGCCTCACGCGTGCCCTCGGTGGCCAGCGGTGGTCCCGATGTGCGGTAGAGGACCAGCAGCACCACGCAGAGGGCGGCGCGCGGAAGCAGCGTGAGGACCGTCGGCCAGTCTGGTGACAGAACGGCACAGAGGCGGGCGAGAAGGATGTCAGCTCGCTGAACGATCACCGCCAGATTCAGGGCAAGGCCTGGGTCCGCAGCTTGTGGACGCACTCTGAGAGTAGAACCAGAAGGTCTCGATGGCAAAGTCGCGCCTCGCCGCCATGACCCTGGCGCTATGCAGCAGCGAGAAGAGGCTGAAGGACCGGATCGAGGTTAGGTTTCGGGCGGGAGCAGAGAGATAGACGGGCAGCGCCAGAGGTCGTCCTGTTCAAGGGCGCCGGGTAGGTCGCGGGAGTGCAAGGAGAGATAGGGAGGTGCGGATCAGCTTATCAGTAAGCAATGCTTGTTTAAGGCGCGGCGAGATCCCGTCGGTCGCTCTTGTCTGGCCTGCCACTTACCGACCGACCAGCGCCTCGCGTATTGCCAGAGCGCCTCGTAGATGATGACGACGCCGACGAACCAAAGCGCCAAGGATGCGGCGTAGATGCCGACGGCGACCCACCAGGCCGTTGTGGCGCCGGCCTGCCCGCTGTCCGGATGGACCGCCACCTCGACCAGCGCGAAGAGCGCGTGGAAGTCGAGGAAGAGGGTCAGAGGGATGTGGTAGAAGACTAAGAGCGGCAGGAGCGCGTGGTGAAGCCGCGCCCAGCGAGAATCGATCTCGAGGCCCTGCAGAGACGACGCGAACGGCTCCTCAGGGAAGCGCGGCCGGGACTCGTACACCTGCGAAAAGTGGTAGCGCTCCTTGGACCGCTGCTGCTGGGCTCGCTGCGCAGACAGCGAGGCGCTGCGCGAGGCAAACTGAGACGAGGGATCCCGGCGTGCCCGCAGCGAGTCCAGCCGGGGCCGGCCGCTGCTGGTTGCAGACGGGCGGCTGGCAGAGCTCTGCCTCAGGCGATGGCCCAGCCACCCTCCTCCGCGAGCAGGGCGGACCGCATTCGCCTGCTCGCCGCCGTCAAGGAACGACGCCCTCTGGCCGGTCGGCATCCCGCTGGGAGGCTTGCCCAGCGTCGGCGTCCAGACGCTGACAGAGGCCGACCTGACCAGGCCAACCAGCTGTCTGGGGCCGTGCTCGTCACGGTGCTGGACGATGCTGGGTTGCGCCTGCATTCGCACCGCACCCGAGCGAGCTTCAGGTGAGCTCATCGATCTCTCTCTAAGGCTGCCCTCCGCCTCAACCGTTTCGTGGGCGCTTGCGAGCCTCGACAGCGGTCGACGTCGCGATCCGCCGGCGGATGTGGTCGTGGCCAGGGCCAGTCCCCGTCCTTGGCCGTGCACAGTGGCGGAAGAGATCTGGGAGATGGGCCGAGGATCCGTGAAAGCCTCGGGAGACGACATGCTTCGCCTCGACTCCGGCCCACGCGACGGCTGGCCGACGTTGGGGGAGCCGTAGGGATCGCTTCGCCCAGGCGAGGCGGCGAGCTGCTCTGGCTCGAGCATGCGAGTGGGCGGGCTGAAGT